TAACCAAGCGATACAAAGATGCAACCTCACTGCCCTTAAGAGAGTTTTATTTACTTTTCTTTTAATCCTTACTGTTCAACAACAGTATACAGGAACAATATTTGACAGTATTATTCACATTAATGTCTTGTAGACTAATAATGGTTTTCTCATAAATTTAGCAATGAGCTTACAACTGCAAACTAATTGGCCTTTCCTAAAATAAGTGATCGTCTGTCTTTTTGTGGTATTAGGTATATACATTTAATAGATCACATTAAGCATTAACTCTGGTATAAAACATTATTAATGTGTATTATACTTCATAACTGCCTCCTATAGCAAAGAACCTGACACGCTTATTAATTTTTACTGACTGCAGAACAGCAATGATCCTCAAGAATTATACTGTGCATAATCTGAAATAGAAAAAATGGTTTAAGGTGTCGATTTGAGTATCAGATCATTTCAAACGAACGCGAGAACAGAAAAGGTTTTTTAAAATATATATATTTATAGAATCATGTTTTGGAAGCCCGGAAGCTGCTTAGTAAGGGGTGAACCCCATAAATTTCTACTCCGACCCCACCACCCCATTGTAAACAGCTACTTTTGATACAACCATTAGGCAAAATTCCAGCTAAGTACAGTTGTATGGCAGGTAGACGGGACTAAATGCCCTGACAAAACACGGAGTTTACTTACACATGCATACACTTAACCCAATTTGAAATTTACCAGGTATACACAAAGTTAAAAATCAGGAAGATGAAAAGGCAAACAATGGGCCTTGGCCTTGGGTGTTTGAAAACCATGTAATAACTTCAATTTTCCTTTCAAAAACATCTGGAATTACTGCTCTCTATAAAAATTGGTAGCTCTTCTACTTTGCTGATATTATCATTTTTAAACTGCTCTTTCTAGAAATTTCCAGATCTGCCCCAAGTTAATGTATGCTACTGATTTTTAAAAAGAACAGGGTCTAATGGGTTGCCTTTAGCAGATACTAAAACTTCAGAAGGGGAATTTAAAACAGGAAGTACTGTGAGCTCACAAAATTGTTGTAGGAGCCAGGAATACATAGCATATTTAATCTGCAAACTGGCAGAGTCTACAATGATTTTACTAAGATCTGAGGCATGCCCTCAAGGTTTTCTGGGATCTGGGATTAGAAAACTGATGAGAACCCATGCTGCCTATCACTACTTTTTCTTCTGCAGTTAAACACAAATGCACTGAGGCACTCTCCTGCTGCTTGACGTTGCTGCTTGGGGTATATAAAAGCAATGGTGAACCTTTTGCTGTCAGTATATCAAAGACAAAACCATCAAAGTGTAAAATTCCGGTTTTGCTCTTTCCCTGGTCCACTGTTGTATTTCAAAGAAGTGCAAAACAAAAGCATTGAAATTGGGGTGGAACATTTTTTTTCACAAAGATTCTCATTTATTTTTTGGCCGAACTGAATATTTTATAATTAAAATATCACTACCACAGCAGAAGTCAACACTGAAGAAATATATCCCCAAAGCCCACAATAAACAAAACCCAAATTAAATCACTTAGTTTACAAAAATATACATATTCACACACACCCACACACACAAACACACTGGAAGAATGCCTAGTATGATTTCTATAGGACAGTATTTAGGTACTTTCACTGAATCTGAATGCATCAAATGTAGAAAATTATTTAATCCATTCATGGTTGTAGCAAGTTTAGCAAGAGTGAATGTGAAGTCTTAAAAGTGGCTCTTTTCAAAAGGGACTTGCCTCAAAAAAAAACTCCTATACAGACGGGATTCTGCATGGGGTTTGACATAGCTGTGTAAAATGAAAAAAAGACAGGCTTTGGAGATAATCTTCTGCAGGCAATTTAATAGCATTAACATTCCATTAGTAAGGTTTTCCTGAGGATTTCAAAACTCGTCAATTTATTCTGCTTCCTCACGACCCTCTTTAAAGTATATTTTACTCCCCAAGCAGAGGCCACTCAAATAATAAGGTCACTGTTCTTAACAGAAAGCAGAATTTTTTTAAAAAAAACTTGGTAGAAACAGCTGGAATTTAGGGTAACAGTTTATTGCCACTACCCTCTTCATTATTGCTAAATTGCCCCAAAAATATACAGTCAATTCACTTTAGAGTATATTCTGCGAAGCGCTTGGTTACGTCTCTAAGACGTGATAAGGCACTATATCAAATGCAAAGATATTATATATTATTATCAAAAGTGCTAAATCATAATTTGATTAATTTTATGAATATACTGCAATATAGAGAAGCACTAACTATTCAGGGACATTAATACAACTCCATATGTTACATTTCATAGGGGGGAAAATTACTAACTTTCTTGAATTATTAAAGCTTCAACTTTAATTTACATAACCATTTGGCGGATTTCATTAATTATGTGCATGTTTTACTTGCGACATTATTCTCGAGATGTCACATTCGAAGAACTTACTTTATATAAACATTAACCAGAGGCTAATCTTAGCAGATTCTTTTAAAAGAGGACTTAAAAGGAGGCAATAGTACAATTTTAAAAAGCATCGGTGTTCACCATGTGAAATCAACTCTCAGGAGCAACATTAGGCAAAGCACATCGGGTTGCAGCCTATATTATTTTCCCCAAGTGCATCTGTAAACGACCTCTAAAATACTACTAGAATAACTGAGAACTTTATTAATTGGATTTTAACCACCCAGTCACGTTTTATGTTGTACAGTATTTAGCAATGCATTAAACTCGAAAAGAGATACCTGCTATGAATAATGCAGGAGCTCAAATTCATTTAAATTATTTACGTTCCTCCAATTAAGTTTTCTTTTGCCCGTATAAATCAGTAGAAATATTTACTTTGCAGTCAGCGTCTCCCAAATGAACCCAACGCTAAAAATGAGAGAGAGAGAGAGAGAGAGAGAGAGAGGCGGTTCGGGTCCACGTAACTGAAGCGATCGATGGTCCCCATCACAGATTTTTGTTGGCAGACGAGATATGTAGAACAGCTGGAAGCAACTTGTTATAAAATGTTTTACACATATACACAGAGGTTGGCACACGTCCACAAACGCGCAGCTCGGGGAATTAGCGAAACTCCACTCTCATTACTCTTGCAAAAGGCTCCCTTTCTGTTCACCGCAAAGATTAATTTCAGCACTAAATTCTCCCTCGTTAAGGCTCGGAGAGCGACGTTGCTTCCCAATGACTTGTGTGTTTTTATTTAATTTTTCGCGCTCTCTCTCTCTCTTTCCTTCCTTCCTCTCTCTCTCTCTCTCCCTCCCTCCCTCCTTCTCTCTCTCTCCCTCTCTCTTTCTAATCCTCTGCATTTAGTTGAATGCAGCCATTAAGATGTCTGCACAAGCCACACACAAAAAAAAACGAATCCGCCTCCTATCAATTCCCTTTGCCAAAGGAGTTCGTGGTTTTATATATATATTATATATAATATATATATATATGTGTGTGTGTGTGTGTGTGTGTGTGGTGAGTTGCGAGGGAATCGAGAGCTGCGCGGTGCTCAGTCACTAACTCACTCAGTCACTAACTCATCAACTCACTCAGTCACTAACTCACTCGGTCACCAACTCACTCAGTCACTAACTCACCAACTCACTCAGTCACTAACTCACCAACTCACACAGTCACTAACTCACCAACTCACTCAGTCACTAACTCACTCAGTCACTAACTCACCAACTCACACAGTCACTAACTCACCAACTCACTCAGTCACTAACTCACTCAGTCACTAACTCACCAACTCACTCAGTCACCAACTCACTCAGTCACCAACTCACTCAGTCACTAAGTCACTCAGACACACACACACTAAAGTTTTCCTTTCAAAAATACTCCCTCTCAACTAAAAAGAGCTCACGTTATTGCCAGTGGCTGGTGAGCTCCTGTGGGACGCGCAGAGACACAGGGAGGGAGAGGGCGAGAGAGGAAAGGGAGAGATAGTGATAGAGGGGGGAGGGAGGGAGGGAGAGATAGTGAGGGAGGGAGGGAGGGAGAGATAGTGATAGAGGGAGGGAGGGAGGGAGAGATAGTGATAGAGGGAGGGAGAGAAGGGAAAGGGAAGGAAGCATCGCCTCAGCGCCGCCAGAAGTCTCTGCAAAGTTGTGCGGAAGTTTGGCCGCTCTTCCTCGCTTGCGAAGTCCGCAGGAAAGAAAGGTCGGCGACAAAAAGTTTTGACTGCGTGTCGGGCCGTCAGGAAAAGTACCTCGTCCACAGGCAGGGCAGGGGCAGGGCAGGGGCAAGGCAGGGGCAGGGCAGGGCAGGGCAGGGCAGGCAGGGCAGGGGCAGGGCAGGGCAGGGCAAGGCAGGGCAAGGAGGCAAGGCAAGGCAGGCAGGGCAGGGCAGGGGCAAGGCAAGGCAGGGCAGGGCAAGGCAGGGGCAGGGCAGGGCAGGGCAGGGCAGGGCAGGGCAGGGGCAAGGCAAGGCAAGGCAAGGCAGGGGCAGGGCAGGGCAGGGGCAAGGCAAGGCAAGGGCAAGGCAAGGCAAGGCAAGGCAAGGCAAGGCAAGGCAGGGGCAGGGCAGGGGCAAGGGCAGGGCAGGGCAGGGCAGGGGCAGGGCAGAGGCAAGGCAGAGGCAGGGCAGGGGCAGGGCAGGGGCAGGGCAGAGGCAAGGCAGAGGCAGGGCAAGGCAGAGGCAGGGCAGGGGCAGGGCAGAGGCAAGGCAGAGGCAGGGCAGGGGCAAGGCAGAGGCAGGGCAGGGGCAAGGCAGAGGCAGGGCAGGGGGGCTCAGCTCGGCTCGGGCAGGTTTGGGCTCAGGGCAAGTGTTGGGAGAGGAGAGCCGGGGCCAGCCCAGAGCTCACTGGGGAGAGTTTGGGGACGGGGTGGTGGGTGGGCAAAGCTCATCCGGATGGGGCATCATCTGTCTGGGAAGGGATGGGATGGGATGGGATGGGATGGGATGGGAGGTTGGGAAGCGATGGGAGGAAGGGAGTCAAAACAAGCGGCGGAGAGAGGGGGGAGAGGGGAGGTTTGCGGAGAGTGTCCTTTGCACTTACCTGCTGTGTAAGTTGCAGTAACGCGATCCGCGTGTGTGTGGGTTGGTGGGTGTGTGGGTTGGTGGGTGTGAGGGTGGGTGGGTGTGAGGGGGGGGGGGGGTGGGTGGGTGGGTGTGAGAGAGGCTCTCACACACACTCACACACACACACACACACACTCTCTCTCTCTCGCTGCTGCCGTCTGCAATGCAAACTCGGGCCTCACCAAAACTTCCCGAAGCAGCTCCCTCCCCCCCCCACCCCCTCCTCTCCCCCACCCCCTCCTCTCCCCCCCACCCCCTCCTCTCCCCCCCCACCCCCTCCTCTCCCCCCCCTCTCCCCCCGAAAGAAACAGCAGCAGCAACAACCAAAAAAAAGTGGCACTTTCTCTCTGTGTGTGTGACCCCCCCCCCCACCCCGCAGGCGGCAGGAGCCAGAGCTGGAGTGCCCCCCCCACCGCACTCCACCAATGGCTATTGCAAGCCTTGCTGTCAGTCTGCAAACTCCCCCCCATCCCCCTCCCCTCTCTCTCTCTCTCTCTCTGCTGTACTCACATCCCTCCGCCCAGTAAAACTTTACAGCATAGTACCCCCCACTCCTCCCCTCCCCATGCACACGCCCCCCCCCCCCCACCCCCCACCCCCCCCCCCAACCCTCTCCACTCTCCTCCCCTCCAGCAGCTGCAACACAGCCCCCTCCCCAAAGCAACCAAACCCACCACTCTCTCTCTCTCTCCACCCCCCCCCCCCCCCCACCACCACCCCGTCCAGCGGACTCTTTTGCGGGCTGTGGTGCGGTCGTTTAGGAAGTTTTAGCTGAGAGTTTTTTTTTGAGTTTGAATTGAATTGTGCGGAAAAGAAAGAGAAAAGGAGAGAAAGAGGGAAGGAGGGAGGAGAGAGAGAGAGAGAGAGTGGGGTGGGGGGGGGGACAAGTGTGAGGGAAGAGAGGAATGTGACAGGCAAAGTGGAGAAAGTGAAGGAGAGAAAGAGACGGAAGGGAAGGAAATAGAGTGATATAGATGGAGGGAAAGAGAGAGAGAGAGAGAGCGGGAAAGTGAAGAGGAGAAAGGGAGAAACGTGTTTAGAGAGAAAATGAAAGAGAGAAAGTGAGAAAAGATGAGAGGAGACGGGAAGAGGGAGGGGACGAACGTGACAGAGAGGAAAGGAAAATGAGGAGAACGGTTGAAAAGTGGGGGGGAAAAGGGGGAAAAAAAGGGAGAGGGGCAACGAAAGGGAAAACCAGAGAGGGAGAGAGAGAGAGTTGGACAAACTTTCCTCTCTCTCTCTCTCTCTCTCTCTCTCTCTGTCTGTCTCCTCATTCCCAGTTCCATGGCGGGTCCTTCCCACAGCAGTTTGTTTGCGTGGTTTTATTTCAATCCATTCGCAAACCCTATCTCTTAAAAAAAAACACATTTCTTTTTTTCAAAAAAAAAGAAATAAACGAAAGAAATTGGTCCTTTCCTAAAATCACTCTTTTTTTTTAGGAGGGCGGGAGGGTGTGGAGAGAGAGAGAGAGAGAGAGAGAGAGAGCAAAGTGTGAAGATGTTTTAGTGTCGGTTTATCTTTTTAAGTTCCTCACCCACTTCAGCCTCACGTTTCATGTCTCATTCGTGTCTTCGGCGCTGTAATTCTCTGGGAAACTCCAAGAGGAATGATGAACGCCCGTGTGTCTCACACTCAAAAAAAGGACAGTTTAGGATTGTTGTTGGGGGGGGGGAGAGGGAGAGAGGGGGTTGGGAGGGTGGGAGAGAGGGGTTGGGAGGGAGAGAGGGGGTTGGGAGGGAGAGGGAGGGGGTTGGGAGGGAGAGAGGGGGTTGGGAGGGAGAGAGGGGGTGGGAGGGAGGGAGAGAGAGAGGGGGTCGTGAGGGAGGGAGGGGGTGGGGGTCGTGAGGGAGGGGGAGAGGGTGGGGGTGGTGAGGGAGGGGGAGAGGGTGGGGGTGGTGAGGGAGGGGGAGAGGGTGGGGGTGGTGAGGGAGGGGGAGAGGGTGGGGGTGGTGAGGGAGAGGGTGGGGTGGTGAGGGAGAGGGTGGGGGTGGTGAGGGAGAGGGTGGGGGTGGTGAGGGAGAGGGTGGGGGTGGTGAGGGAGAGGGTGGGGGTGGTGAGGGAGGGGAGAGGGTGGGGGTGGTGAGGGAGGGGGAGAGGGTGGGGGTGGTGAGGGAGGGGGAGAGGGTGGGGGTGGTGAGGAGGGAGAGGGTGGGGGTGGTGAGGGAGGGGGAGAGGGTGGGGGTGGTGAGGGAGGGGGAGAGGGTGGGGTGGTGAGGGAGAGGGTGGGGTGGTGAGGGAGGGGGAGAGGGTGGGGGTGGTGAGGGAGGGGGAGAGGGTGGGGGTGGTGAGGGAGGGGGAGAGGGTGGGGGTGGTGAGGGGGGGAGAGGGGGGGGGGGGGGGGGGGAGGGTGGGGTGGTGAGGGAGAGGGTGGGGGTGGTGAGGGAGAGGGTGGGGGTGGTGAGGGAGGGGGAGAGGGTGGGGGTGGTGAGGGAGGGGGAGAGGGTGGGGGTGGTGAGGGAGGGGGAGAGGGTGGGGGTGGTGAGGGAGGGGGAGAGGGTGGGGGTTGTGTGTGAGGAGATGTCTCGCACCACTTTCCACCACCACAATAATTCTCAAAAAGTTGCCTTTCACCCCAGCAAAGCTGAGTGTAGACTCCGCCAGGATTTGTTTCCCTGACTGTCGCTCCCCCCACACTCCCACTGCACTGCACTCGCTCGCACGCTATCCCCGACCCCGGCACTTGCACGTGTTTGGTTTAAGCTGTTGTATCTGAAGCCAAAGAACCGTCTCTTATCCCATCAGTTGTTTACTTTATCTGCAACTCAACAGCTCCAGACGAGACGCTGTGTAAAGTGCGCGGCAATTGTGCGATTACAATGGAGAGCCGCGGAGGGGAAAAAGGGGAAGTGGTCAACGACACTACACAGACACTCACCGGAGTGGAGAGTGTTTGGAAACCCAAACCCTCCCCCCCCCCCGGGGTGGGTGGGGAGGGGTGCTGGGTGGGCGGGGAGGGGTGCTGGGTGGGCGGGGAGGGGTGCTGGGTGGGCGGGGAGGGGTGCTGGGTGGGCGGGGAGGGGTGCTGGGTGGGGGGGAGGGTGCTGGGTGGGGGGGGGGGGTGGGGGGGGGGGGGGGGGGGGGTGGGGGGGGAGGGGTGCTGGGTGGGGGGAGGGGTGCTGGGTGGGGGGGGAGGGGTGCTGGCTGGGCGGGGAGGGGTGCTGGCTGGGCGGGGAGGGGTGCTGGGTGGGCGGGGAGGGGTGCTGGGTGGGGAGGGGTGCTGGGTGGGGGGGAGGGGTGCTGGCTGGGCGGGGAGGGGTGCTGGGTGGGGAGGGGTGCTGGGTGGGGGGGAGGGGTGCTGGCTGGGCGGGGAGGGGTGCTGGCTGGGCGGGGAGGGGTGCTGGGTGGGCGGGGAGGGGTGCTGGGTGGGCGGGGAGGGGTGCTGGGTGGGCGGGGAGGGGTGCTGGGTGGGCGGGGAGGGGTGCTGGGTGGGGAGGGGTGCTGGGTGGGGGGGGAGGGGTGCTGGCTGGGCGGGGAGGGGTGCTGGGTGGGGAGGGGTGCTGGGTGGGGGGGAGGGGTGCTGGCTGGGCGGGGAGGGGTGCTGGCTGGGCGGGGAGGGTGCTGGGTGGGCGGGGAGGGGTGCTGGGTGGGCGGGAGGGGTGCTGGGTGGGCGGGGAGGGGTGCTGGCTGGGCGGGGAGGGTGCTGGCTGGGCGGGGAGGGGTGCTGGCTGGGCGGGGAGGGGTGCTGGCTGGGCGGGAGGGGTGCTGGGTGGGGGGGGAGGGGTGCTGGGTGGGCGGGGAGGGTGCTGGGTGGGGAGGGGTGCTGGGTGGGCGGGGAGGGGTGCTGGCTGGCCGGGGAGGGGTGCTGGCTGGGCGGGAGGGGTGCTGGCTGGGCGGGGAGGGGTGCTGGTGGGGAGGGGAGGGGTGCTGGGTGGGCGGGGAGGGGTGCTGGGTGGGGAGGGGTGCTGGGTGGGCGGGGAGGGGTGCTGGGTGGGTGGGGAGGGAGAGGTGCTGGGTGGGCGGGGAGGGGTGCTGGGTGGGCGGGGAGGGGTGCTGGGTGGGTGGGTGGGTGGGGGGGGCAGCTGCTGGGTTCATCCTGACTGTGAGGCAGGACAGGCAAACGCTCCCAAAATATTGCAATAAACCATCCCGACTTCGCACACAACTGTTTTTCATTCATTTGTTGTGTACTGTAGCAATAAATGACACGATCCGGTCACCCTTATAAACAAAGATATTGTTCGGTTGGCTGCTGACGACTTTTGTTTAATTTTCCCCAAGATTTCAGACCATACACTACAACTATTTTCAGACACCCGAATCAATATCGTTGCAACTAAATGCAAAGAACACAAATACCTCTCGCACTTGCCTTTTTTTTAAAAACATTTTTTTGCCACGTACCGATTAATAGTATTATAGTATATTATATATAGTATATTATAGTATATTATAGTATAATAGTATATAGTATAATAATAATTAACACCGCAATTGGATCGATTGTTTTAAGAGCTGTTTAGGACCGACTGACAGAACAACGTGGGGATCTTTTGAAGTGGGTAAAACCCGTCGTACTAACCCGTCCGACTTTGTTGACGGTCGAGAAGAACTGTGTTCGATTTCTTCCCGCAATTGTGTGCGTTATTTGTTCGGGGAAAGTCTGATTCTTTACCCAAAGTAAACCGATTTGGGAGTGTGTGTTAGTGTATGGTTAACGTGTGCTGGTGTGGGGGGGGGGGGGGGGAGGGGGGGAGAGGGGAGTGAGAGTAAAGAGGGTTGGAACCAGTTTGTATTTCTCTGTCTGTATGTGTTGCTCGGGGTCACCTTTATATACCGATCTGGTTCCATCAAAGTTCCTGAAATCAGTTTTAAACCAATTTTGCAATGTATTTTGTGTGTGTGTGTGTGTGTGTGTGTGTGTGGGGGGGGGGGGGGGGGGGTGTTGCGGGGAGTATGAACTTTATATGAAAACCATTTGCAAAATGTTCCCACTCTTTTTGTTTGTTCCCTTTCATCCGATGGGAAAAATCACAGTGTTCACAAGTATTCAGCAGTCACTCATTATTGTTAGTGACTGGAAAATAATTCCCGTCT